TTGAAAAGTACGTAACTGAAGTTGTAAGCAAAACTAAAAGCAGCAGTGTAAAAAGAAAAAAGCCAACGTTTGATCGTTTGACATTGACTTCCTTGGTCCAGTTTCATTCCGGTTAATTTGGTCTTCTTAAAGTGTCACTCACTAGATCCTAAGAATTAAATCTTGTGAAATATGAAACCATTGATGCATAGAGTGAAAATGCGTTTCAGTTTTTACCGAACAGGGAGTATTCCTTAATGTTGATTACATTTATTTTAAAAACCGCCTGCAAAGCGACAACATCCTCAATGAATTATTTAACTTTTTGAAAAGAACTCATCGCTCCTAGTTTGAAACTAATGTACTTGTACAGAAAAACATGTTTCTCAGCTGATAACTTAAAGATTTTACATTAAAGTCACCTCAGGGAATATTGAAAATATGCATACATGTTCTCGTAATTATGGTGAAGTCTGTACTGTTACAGACGGTTGTCCAAATGTTAAGTGCAATTTGGTAGGACTTCAAGCCTCAAGTAATATTTTTACGGATACGGTTATGATCTTCAGTTTCTCTGAGATAATTATCAGATGTAATTTTCAAGTGAAAAAACCAAAGTTAAAATATCAAAAGTACACGTATATATGATGCAAACATAGTGCAGTAGAAAAAGAAACTGGCAAAATGTTTATTTTACTTTTTAATTAAAAAGAGAGTTGGAACCGCCAGACATTGATTAATGTTTTTTCTCTTAATATTATATACATGGTCCTCATGAAAAGGAGAATTCAATAGGGCCATGCAGTTATTGACTCGGCGGACTGTTGAGGCTACATTAAATGCATCTTGTCAAAGATTTTTGCTTTGCCCTGTCTAATTACACTGGATGTTTACCGATCTAAGAAAAACCAACAGGTGCTTGTATAAAGCCGCTTGCTTGGGATATTTCTGTGAGTAAATTTAACCAGCAACTCTAGCTACTACAGCTCAAGATTGTTTTCGAGATGCCAAGACAAGTGCTTCCAGAAGGCGAAATGGAGGAAGGCCGAAAAGGGTGGACTGAAACCTGCACCAGTGATTTCAACATGGAATCTCTCCAAGCCGGTGAGATGACGAACGACATCTCCGAACAAATATCTCAGACCTTCGGTCCAACTTTGACGTTAATGAAACTGGGTGGGCTTTTCTTTGGCGAAACCATTTTGTCCGAGCCTCGGAACTCAAACGCAGGAAAGACGGTGTACCTTTCGCGTTTCTACTGCTTGCTTGTTGTTCTTAGTCTGTGGTTGCAAGTAGTAATCGGACTTACAACTCTTTTTTCTGAAGGTTTCGCTTCCATGGATCTTTTCCTGTACCTGTTTATCGTGGTTACCTGGTCTGTGCAGTGTGCTTGCAACCTCACCGTTTGTTTGACGATGCTGCCTCAAGGGCAAAGCAAAAGCGGCTCTCAATTTTCCCAATTTATTTCTTCTTTCACTGCGACAGCAACTAATCTCAAAGGGTTGAGACGAAAGGCGCTGAAAAGTTTGGTGATTGCAGTCCTAGCATCTCTTGGGAATTTTGCCTTTGTCCTACTATGGTCATTTCATCTGGGTGGTGTACTCTATAATTTCAAACCGTGGAATGGGAACATGGCAGTCCGAATCATCGAGGTTGGGGTTGGAATATATACGTCTTTTGCCTGGAGTCTTCCCGTGCAGCTTTACTATACAACGTGCTTGATCTTGGAAAGAATGTTTGAAACGCTAAAGGACAAAGTCACATCCAGCCTCGATACAGAACACTCATTGACCCTCAAAAGCTTGCGTCAAGAGCATTTGCGATTATGCAAGGTACTTAAGAAGGCTGACAGGGTCTTTTCACCATTCCTGTTTGTAACTGTCTCACTAGGTGGACCGTTAATTTGCGTCAATTTGTACCAGCTCATCAAGATCACTAAGAATTGGTCGAGCGACCCAAATATGATTTCGCTTTTCGGTCATCTGTTTTGGACAGCTTGTTTGTCAAGCATACTCTCACTCCTATGCTTGTTTGGAAATCGAGTGAACGAGAAGGTAAGATCAAAGGTAAATAATATTGCAAATTTTAAAGAAAAATTGTATTTAAAACTATTTTCACATTTTATTCGAAACATCAATTATTTAATCTCTTTATACACGACCCCTCCAGCTACATTTATAGCTTTAAACCTCTTAGTATTCAATCGTGTAAACCTTTTCATCGATGTAATTATATAACCGGTCTATGTGTTGGTGAAAAGAAAATCATAGAAATGTTGTGGTGCTGGTGGTAAAAGCAAATTAATTGAATGGTGGTGGCAGTAGTGATGTTGTAATGAAGGGAAGACAAAAGAAATGTGTTTGTGGTGGCGGTGGTGGAGGAGGGAAAACAACTGAAATGAGATGGTGGTGGAGAAACAACAATAGAAATGTGGTGCTGATGGTAGTGGTGTGACAAAAATAAAAATGTGGTGTTGCTGGAGATACAACAATAAAAATTTGATGGTGGTGGTGGTTGTAGTGATAGTGATGGCGGAGGAGGGAAAACAATAAGAGGATGTGTTTGTGGTGGTTGTCATGGTTGTGGGGAAGTAAAAACATTAAAAATTTGGTTGTGATAGTTGTGGTGAAGGAAGAACATTATAGAAATGCGGTGGTAGTGGTGGTTCCGGTGGAGGGAGAACATTATACAAATGCGGTAGTGGTGGTGGTGTTTTCGGTGGAAGGACAACATTAAAGAAATGCGGTAGTAGTGGTGGTTCCGGTGGATGGGCAACATTATATAGAAATGCGGTGGTGGTGGTAATGGTGGTTCCGATGGAGGGACAACATTATAGAACTGCGGCGGGTGGGAAAGCAATAGAAATATGGTGGTGATGGTGATGTTGGTGGTGGTATAGTTAAACGTAACAAATTGACAGGAGCGAAATAATTAATATGCAATATTTGCACGCCAACAATTAGTAAAGCGCAAGTGCAACAACTAGTTTTATCTGTAACTCACTTTCAAACGGACTACCCCACTGCGCCCTCACTAAACTGCAGCGTGTTCAAAACGCAGCTGCAAGAGTTCTATATCTAGCACCACGGTTTTGCCATATCACACCAATATTATACGAATTACACTGGCTGCCTGTGACGTTTCGAATAGAATTTAAGGTTATTATAATCCCTCTCAAAGCAATCTATGGAACAGCTCCTAATTATTTATCATCTCTCGTTAACTTTAAACCTAATTCTTCCTACAGCCTCAGATCAAATAACAAATATCTGCTTTCAAATCCTAACTTTAGGACTCTCCCTACTCTTGGTGACCGAGCCTTTGTAGCCGCCGCACCAAAACTATGAAATAATCTTCCGTTAGATCTTAGATGCGCCTCCGATTTTCAAGTTTTTAAGCGTAATTTGAAGACTCACCTTTTTAAAAAAGCCTTTCCTGATATAATGTAATTTTTTTTTACGGTATATTTTTAGATCTTTAATTGTAAGGCGCATTTGAAAACTGTATAGTTGAATTTGCGCGGTATAAATAAATGTTATTATTATTATTATCTGCAATGGAAGATACAGGAAATAGTATTTGCTCAAATACGTAAAGGCTGAGGGACGTGACCTGTTGATATTAACGTGCCAAAAAGAAGTGCAATGGTTCTTGAAAAAAAAAATATTCTTTTGTTTTACTCGTTACGAATTTTTCATAACAAAAACAATGTTTACAAACAGCGATATCTTTTCCTTCTAAAACATACATCAACCAACGAGCACTTTTCTTAATGTTGAACATTAAAAAAACTAGGACATTCATCGGCCTAAATAACCAGAAAACCGGTCAAACCGGTGAAACCACCTGAAAATAACATACCATCTTATGTTAATGAGCCTCCACCGCACTTTTTTCATGAGATGCAGACAAGAGGTTATAAATTCACCTGCAACTACAAAATATTCCCATAACAATCGATCACTTGTGATGGTTAGATTCGTTTTCAATTGATTGCTACCATTTCTTTTTCAAAACTAGAAACGGGGAAGCCAAAAAAAACTCTCACACCATGACCACATAAAACCTGAGGTAAACCTATCGGACCTTGCTCGATCTTTGGCCCAAGTATCTATGTATTCATTTATTTATCTATTTGTTTATCTGTTCATCTATGTATTAGTTAGCTAGTTAGTTTTTAATAATTGGTTTGTTTACCTACTTTACACATTTTTTCATTTGAGACAATAACGGAGACTCAGGTGTAGAGGTTAGTTATATTGAGGTTCCACTGTATAATTATACACATAACTGTAATGAACTCGAGTATACACCGAGTCATACAACTTTTATGTTTGTTTTTAATATCCCGGTAATGAAAAAAAAACAAACAAACAAACAGAAGAGGTCGGAATCTTGTATTTTAAAAGGCGGGTGTCCAAATGTTAAAACGCAACACAGGTTCTGAAGGTCAGTGCTATTGTTCGGTCTAGCCTCAAATATCAGATAAAATTGACAAGTTTGAAATGAAATTTCGAAATGAGAGTACATTGACACAATATAAATCAATGCAGCAGAAAACGAACCGGCGGAATTACAGTTTATTTTGTTTCTTTTTTTAATTAGAGAGAGTTGGAAGCACCTGGCATTGATTTTTTTTTTCTCTCAAGAATGCTAAATACACAGTCTTAGTGCAAAGTAGAATACAATTAACCTCATGCAGTGAACGACTCGCCGTGTCGACTCTATTAAGGCTACAAAAGTATATGCATATTATCATATTGCTTTATTTTAACCTGACTAACTAAGCTTGATTTTTTTTGAGCTTGGAAAAACAACAGATGTTCGTAATCAAAACCACCTGATTTGGATATTTCTTTGAGTAAATTTAATCAGTAACTCTACTACAGCTCAAGTTTGCTTTCGAGACCATAATGCAACGACAAGTGCTTCCAGAACGCGATTTAGAGGAAGGCCGCCGAAAAGGAAGAAGTGAACCTGGTGTTCCAGGCTTTAGCCTGGGATTTATCCGAGCCGAAGAGATGACGAACGACATTTCCGAACAATTATCGCAGACTTTCGTTCCAACTTTGACACTGATGAAACTGAGTGGGCAATTCTTTGGCGAAACCTCCTTCTCTGAGTTTCGGGACTTAAACCCGGGAAAGTTGGTATATCTTTCGCGTTTCTACAGCTTGCTTGTTGTGCTAAGCCTGTGGCTGTTCGTAATATTCGGACTGGCAAGTCTTTTCTCTGAAGGTTTCACCTCCGTGGATGTTTTCCTTTACTTGTTTAACATAGCTGCCTGGTCTGTGCAGTGTGCCTGCAACGTCACCATTTGTTTGGTGATGCTGCCTCAAGTGCAAAGCAAAAGCGGGTCTCGATTTTCCCAATTTATTACTTCATTCTCTACGACAACAACTGATCTCAAAGGGCTGAGGCGAAAATCACTGAAAGGCTTAGTTTTTGCAGGAATGGTGTCTTTGGGGAATTTTGCCTTTTCCCTTCTATGGTCATTTTATCTCAATGGTGTACTGTACAATTACAAACCGTGGAATGGGAACATGGGAGTCTGGATCATCGAAGTTGGAGTTGGAATATACGCTTCTTTCGCCTGGAGTCTTCCCGTACAGCTTTACTACACAGCGTGCTTGGTCTTGGAAAGAATGTTTGAAACGCTAAAGGACAAAGTCACATCTAGCCTCGATACAGAACACCCCTTGACCCTTACCAGCTTACGTCAGGAGTATCTACGATTGTGCAAGGTACTCGAGATGGCTGACAAAGTGTTTTCACCATTCTTGTTGGTAACGTTCGCATTGGATGTACCGTTAATTTGCGTGAACCTGTACCAGGTCATCAAGGTCACCAAGAATTGGTCCAACGACGAAAATACGATTTGGTTAATTGCGTACATGTTTTGGAGTGTTTGTTTATCAAGCATAGTTTCACTCTTGTGCTTGTTTGGAGGCCGAGTTAATGAGAAGGTACGATCAAGGGTATATAAAAGGCAGTTTAAGCAAACCTTTTCATTTACGGGCAGCTGTAGCAAATCCTTTTTAAGCAAATATCGATAGCAATGTTAGGAAAAAAAGCAATAGAGATATCCTTTCAAAAATCTAGCTTAATCAAAAGTAGGAAAATTAACAACGGTAACCAGGGACTTATCGAAAGAAACAAGGAATTTATCAGCAGCTGGTGAAGACGTTGTTGACAAAAGTAACAAATATAGCAAGAAAGCAACAAGGAAAAAGAGAAATCCCGCGTTTTTTGTAAGGAAGATGAAACGGAAAGCCGACAAAACTAACAGGTCTCTCGCCAAGCCGCAAATTTGGGAAGCAAGATTACCCTGGATCAATTTGTCTGCATCTGCAAAAATTGTCAACAAATTGCTCATTTATGGATGTTGGATTCGTTTTTGAATTCGTTGCTTCCAGTTTTTTTCGATAAATAGAAAGTAGCAGCTAAAAAATCTTTTACGTGACGACCTAGCTATCGTAACCAATCTAACTTGTTCAGTTTATCGCTGTCACCAGCGCGCACCTCGTAGCCTTCGCTATCTCGTAATCCGATTAGGTAATCTGATCACGCGCGTTTTGACTTTTTAAAATCACTTGAAACTTACGCAACGCCCAGAGTATGATTACTATCAATTTATCAATGAATTTATTTATTTATTTATTCAGTTAGTTACTAATTAACCAGTCAGTTAGTTTTAACTGAGACTGTCTATCCACTTTAACCCGTCTAAAGGTTTCCTCGTTAGCGCCCAGCCTCCCGACAGGTAACTCGGCTGGCCGGCCTTGTAACACACGCGCTCTTACAAAGGAAATGGTGGTGATCGAGCACGTTCTCGGCAACGCATTTGAACGTGCTGATATAGAAGGTCTAAATCATAATTTAATTCAAATAACATACTATTTGCAGGCTCACAGTTTCTACGAAACCTTACAGATGCGCTACGTTCCTGCTCAGGACATCAAAGAACACTCGGAAGTGAGTATAATGACCTTTTGTTTTTCCTTTTTAAAAGAGAAATACAGCTAATACACTTACAGACCTACTACTAACTTCTAATGACAGAGGTTGAGCGAGGTACAACTTTTACTTTAACGCTAGCCTGAGTATCATTTCCTCTCCCCTAATACTCAAACTGCGTTTGCGCACAACCTGCTATATAAGAAATTGCCTTTATTTTATTTACGGGCGTAAAATTTGTCAGAAATCCACCTTAAAAGAAGCTTTATAAATAAGGTTAGTCATTTCTCCGAATATTTATCATATCATATGAAAAGCTGCACTGACCTCAATCTTGGCGAAAATATAAGCTTATCTCCTTTCATTTCCCAGATTCTAGACTATATCTATTGAACGAGTTTGGGTTTATATTTCTGATGATGTGATAGCGAAAACCAGAAACTTATTTGGGCGATCTTTTTGAATCTGTGTTTCCTCAGTTGGTGCTGTTCCTTGCGCATGTCCAGGGAGAGCCCATTGGTTTATCTGCAGGAGTATTGTCGGTGATCAACAAGTCGTTCTTCCTTACGGTTAGTTTAATTTAGTTAACTGCCGTATTTATTTTTGCCCTGCAGTTTTTGCCCTTGACGGCTTTACTAACATCGATCCAAACCCTCCAAACAAAACTTTCTAATCAAAATTTTCTTATAAAATCACACTGTACCAAAATGTAACTTTCGATTGGACACAGGGTCTATTTTCTCCTAGTCCTCTTAGGAAGAGACCTGGGAACGAGATTGATCGGCGGGAAATATTCACAGGAAAAATCTTTGCACGCATAATTAAATACAAGAACGAGCAGTATAGGGCGCACCGAATTAACCCCCCTTCTGTAGGCAGGAACGCTTTTAAGGAGGACATGAATACATCCACGCCGATGTTGTCATAGCCTTTTGTCTCTCTTATGAATGAATAAATGGAATGAATAAATGAAATCCCATCAAGATAAGGTCATGTACTATATATTTAGTTGGTTTAACCTGTTGTACAGAGTTCCTAGCTGTTTCTCGGATATCAATTGACTTAAAGCTCATGTCTCGCCTTATAGACTTGTGTAAGTTTTATTTTGGAAACTTCTATATTACTAAAAACACAATGAAAAAAAAAGACGCGTTTATAGCAGGTCTTATACCTTAAAGGTATTCCTGCATGAAAAAGGGTAATTAACCGTCGGCGCGTCCTACACTAATGAAGCGAATTAGAAAATTTCCAAAGGGTACTTTACCCTCACCGGAAAGTTCCAGAAGCATTTGTTTTTCGTTTCATTGATTGGTCAGTTTTCACTGAACTGGTTTTTCAAGGGATTTATGCAGAGGGCCGGGCGTCTCCTGCAGCTCTAGCTTGTAAACCTTGTAGGACGTTTTTGAGCAACAGACGTCAACCGGAAGTGAGCCATTTTCTATTTATATAATAGAGGCCTAAGATTAGGTAGACAAGAACGACTACGAGGACGAGATTTTCTCAATAGTAAGTGCTCGCGCGTGAGGCAGCGTCAATTTGACAATTTGGTAGCCGTCGTCATTCTACTACGAGTTTTAGCGAGAGTGTCGTAGTGGCGGGAACAAGTTATCAAATGTTAGACGT